TTGCTTGAAAGGCATCCGTCTTCTCCCACGCTCAGATATCAACGCTCCTGGTCCTCTGAGTTTCAGACTTACCCTGGGATAAACACCACTGCCCCACCCCATCCCTATTCTTAGGCTTCAGACTCAGACTGAATTACAACCACCAGCTTTCAATGGGCTTCTCCGTCTCCATAACACATGAGCCAGTTCCTATAATCTCCTCTTAACCTATATCTATATACATCTCACTGGTTCTCTTCCTCTGGAAAAGCTGAACTAAGAACCCAAGTGCACGCATTTACATCGCAGCTCCTGACCAGAGCTGAGGGGCACAGCATCTGCCACTCTGCCAGCTTCATTTGCTTGCTCACACCAGGGCCCTGCAGACGCTGGAGGAGGAGCCCCGAGCCAAGAGACTCGAGTCCAAATTCTTTGGCCTCCTCTCCTAAACCCTGCCCCGAGCTTTCCTTGAAGCCTCGTCTCTCGCTGTAGACAGAGTGAATATATGATGTGTGATCCAAACTGGGCCACTTTGGAAAGTCAAAAGGGGCACCAAAAGTAACAAGTGTTCATTAATCCACAACAGGCATAAACCGGGACTTTTCCTGGCAAGCCTGGGTGTATGGTTGGCCAAACCGTGGATCCCAGGGTGGGCAGCACACAGCCCCGCCTCCAGCCAACCTGCCCCGCTCCTGTTTCCTCCACGTGACCGCCTCTGTGCAGGGCGGTGCCTTTGCTCCTTGCTGACCCTGCTTCTCGGAGTACCCTCCCTGCTCATCTCTGCGTGTCGGGATCCAACAGCCTCTTCAAAGCCCAGGCCAGATGTGACCGCTTCCTGGAAGCATTCCTCACACTTCCGGCCCTGAACTCCTCGCTCACCTCTGAGTTTCCGGAGGACTTTGTCAATCTGCTTTTATCCTTCCCTGTGTCCCAGGTTAGAATCATTTCGTTCACCCAGCCAACAAACTTTTAGGGAGCACTGGGATACAGCAGCGAACAACACAGCCCAAGCGCCTCCCCTCAGAGAGTTTGGGTCTTACTGCTCATTGGCTCATCAATTTCCCAAGGACAGGAACTGCAGATGGAAGATGTAGTGCCCTGCTCAAGAACATTTGCTACGTTAGGTTGTAAAAACCTCTCCATGCCTTACTCTACTCACCTGCTAAAGGGGAATAATACCCTCCTTCTCTTACAGCAGCACCCTGAGGATTAATGAAAAGCAAAGTGATAGTATCTGTAAAGTTAAAAACATTTTAGCCATGTAGAGTTCTAAAAATAGTAGCTACTAAGCAAAGCAAACTGTGATCAGCATATCCTGTATCACCTCCTTTTAAAATTTCTAACACTTGGGGGGGGGGGGCACCTGGGTGGCTCAGTTGGTCAAGCGTCTGCCTTCGGCTCAGGTTATGATCCCAGGGTCCTGGGATCGAGCCCCGCGTCAGGCTCCCTGCTCAGAGGGGAGTCCACTTCTCCCTCTCCCTCTGTCTCTGCCCTGGCTGGTGTGCACACTCTCTCGCTCGCTCGCTCACTCTCTCTCTCAAATAAACAAATAAAGTCTTTAAAAAAAAAAAAGTAAAATTTCTAATACTTGGAAATGGGTATTGTTATTCCCTTTAACAGAGAAGAAACCCAAGGCTCAGAGAAGTTAAGTGATTGGCTGATGAGGCCAACAGGCTAACGGAAGGAGAGCCAGGCTCCAGTCAGGTATCTGACTCTAGATTCTGAATGCTTTCCACCACACCGCACTGAAAACTAACCGGATTCCAGGGTGGCCCAGTTGCTCCGCTTAGGCACAAGACCAAGAGGGCATTGACAGAAATAGAACCTTAGCATCTCCCTGGGGAGTTCCTTAGCAGAGACCATCTCCACCCGAAATGACAGTGGATGTGGTGAGCCAGCAGCTGCCACGAAGGGGCCAAGACGTGGCGTCACCGAGTCAGCCCTGGGCCTGAACCTGTCTCCTCCCATTGCCCACATTCCAGTGTCCTCATGGACATTGTCCCTTGGCCTTTCTAGGCAGAAGGGACCTTCAAAGGTTGTAGAAGGCCTAATCTGTGGCTATGACCAGTGAAAGATTTCCCTGGGCAGGAGGGCAACACCTGCTGAGACCCCTCTACTCTCCCCTACACACACACACACACACACACACACACACACACACACACACACACCTCAAGACTTCATTCAGCACAGGGGACGAGCAACACACGGCTCTTGATTGACCTGGTGAAGCTGTGAGAGTCTCTCACCTGGGGGTGCTTGCCAGGCCTGAGGTCAGTGCCGGGCCCTCTGCAGAGCCTCTGCTCGTTACCAGGAAGGTGCACAAATTGGGTTAAAAAGTTACACTGCCATGATTCCAGAACCCCTGGTCTGTGAGGCTGTGCTTCCCATGTCAACGAACAGCCAACCCCCTCTAAATGTCTGCTGGCTTCTATAATTACTTGGGGAAAATGTCATGTTTGCCACGGTGTTATTAGAGTAGCACACAGGCTAAGATGCAAACAACTCCACACCAAAATAAATATTTCCCATGGCGTCATTCCAGCTATCTGGTGCATGCACTTCCAGATGATCACACAGGAGAAAATCAAAGACAGGGATCCTCTGTTATGAAGTGCAGTCAGGAGGCTGCGTCTGAAGACAGACAGCTCCAGTCTGGTGTGAAATCTGGTCTGATCCTTATATCTGAAGCTATATTTATTCTCTCTTGCTTTAGAATTTGTCACTATCTGATTTTATTACAAAATGAAAACCTGTATGTTTCAGCAGTTTTCACAGAAACACTTAGCAAAGGTTTCCCGGGGCCTGGAAAAGGAAAGCAGCAGACCAACCTAGGGCGAGTCACTGGGCCTCAGCTGCCATCTGTAAAACGGGGTTAAGACATCAACTGCCCAGAGGGAGGTTGACTTTCTTATACTTCCTTCAAGGTCTGAAATCTATAATAAATTAGAGGCCTACCATTTCATGCCAAAATAGTATGCAGATAAAGGCCGGTGTGGCTCCTGCTGACTCTAGGGTATGTGGTCAGGCCCTGCCCTCACATTTGTAGGCCCCAGGGGAAAATTACAAATGGAGGCCCACATAGCATGTGTCGAACTATTTAAAAGTTATAAATCAAGCTAATAAACTGCTAAATAGAATCTGTTTTGTTCTCCCACCTTGACAAATACGCCTTCAAAATGGCCTGGAAGGCCAGGTTGGACTTTAGAAATCTTGAAGTCCTCAGTTTCACATCATGACATGACAATAGGAAGAGTTAACCCCAGCCTCCCCCAGTCCTTCCCACTCCTGGCTCTATCTCATACCTCAAGGGGCCTCACAGTCCTGCTCATGAACAACCCAGCCCGCATGTCCACACTCTGTGCACACATGCACACACACGCACACCAGTGGGCCCAGGGACCTATACACCAGCAGTACAGCCCCAGTCTCTCAAGGACAGACCTGGAAAAGAGGCCTGGTAATGAGCTTGGGGTTGTTTGAGCAGGAAATCTTAGAGTCCCAGGTACCCATCGAATGTTCTAGAAGAGGGAGCCCTTCCCTTAGTGCTATAGACTCCTTACCCTGTGAGGAAGTATTATCCATGGGAGGCCAGAGTGGGGCCAGGGCAAGGACCCCTCTTGTTGACTTACCATTGACAGTGGGCTAAATTCCCTTAATATATAAAGAATTCCCTCAAGTCAATAAGAAAAAAAATCAGCTGCTCAATTAAAAAAAAAATGAATAGACAGCGCATTTAAAAGAGCATGAATAGCTCCTAAAGATGAAAGACATTCAGTGTCCAAGGTTGAAAGTCTGGCAGCATACTGTTGGCTCAGCGTGTGAAGCAATACTCTCACCCACTAATGGTGGCAGTGAAGGTGGGGCAAGCTCTATGAAGCACAATCTGGCAACAGCTATAAAAATTACAAATACATATGCTCTTTGTCCCAAATATTCTACATCTAGTTATTTAACCTGGAGAAATATTTTAACAAGAAATGATATTTATTGTGGCTTTTTTTTTTTTTTGTAATAGGTAAATATTGGAAGCAACCTAAGTCAACTGGTGTAGAGCCGGTTAGCTCAGCAATGTCCCCCCACAGAAGACAGATACAGGGCAGGTCTAGATGAACCAGTACACAGACTGGTCACCAACATGTGTTGCTAAATGACGAAAAGAAAGCTATCCAGGACAGCGGTGGTGTGCTGCTATTTGTGTCTAGAGAAAGAGCCCATATACACATGTTCAATGTGCCAAGACTTTCTGGAAGGGTACTTAAGAGACTGTTAACAGTTAACAGTCTGTATGTATCTGTATATGTACAGATACATAGTGGCTGTATCTATGGAGGGACTCTGTATGGCCGGGACAGCTGAAGGAGGGAGAATGACCCTTTGTTGTATTTCTTTTTGTGTCCTTTGAATTTGTACCACGTGTATGATTTACTTATTATGACATATTCAAATGATAAAAAAGAAAAGCTTAGCCTAGCACTCCATCTATACTTTTCTCAATGGTACATATATTTTTCTCTTATGTCATCATTATTTATATACAAGTTTTGCAAATCTTCCATATTTTAGTTTAAGAGGGTAGAATTCATGCCAAATAATAACAGTATTTTTGAGCATTTATTATCTGCCAAGCCCCATCCTCCATTATTTATATGCATTATCTCACTTATTTCTCTATAATGACCTCTGATTATAGGTACTATTACTCTCGCTTTACAGCTCAGGAAAACTAAGGGTCCAGGAGGAGGTTTAAAATTTTCCTAAGGCTGCCTAGCTCTGTGCTAGGGAAGTGGAGTCTAAGACTGTTCTACGCCAGCTCTGACTGACTTCAAGGGTCCCTTAGCCACTACGCATGGTCTCTCTCTCTCTCTTTCTCTCTCTCTCTCTCTCTCTCTCTCTCTCTCTCTCACACACACACACACACACACACACACACACACACACACACACACACACTGGAATTTAGGAAGATCTGGATGAATGAGTGAGTGAATGAGGGAACGCATGATGTACTTGCCACATACACGGTTATCCTGCACATCGTACTTCTAGTTCATGTGCATCCTGTTTCCAGATCTGGGGAGGGCTGGAGGACAGCCCTCCATATAAATAGCCGTAGGTTCCCCTTGCCCACTGCTGCCTGGAGGGAAATAGAGAGAAAGAACTGACCAACTGAGGAAGATGAAGAGGTGGTTAGTTTCACACGAGAGGATATTTTTTAAGCAAAGATCCTAGGGCTCAGACAAGAGCCTGAGGGCCCATTCTGTCACGTCCACATGAAGCATGGCTCCATTCTCGAAGCTCAGAAATGTCAAAGTACTGGGTACATGGTCCCTGGCCATACAGAGCCCTCAGGCCCCTTCTGACAGCATGTCAAGCTTCCACACGGGTCATCCTACAGTTTGCAGGCAGAGCAACGGGGAATCCCATGGGGGGGCTACCTATCTGAGCAAAGAGATGAAGGCTGCTGGTACACATCCCCCCCACACACAAAAGAGCTGATACATTAGTGTATTTGTTTGTTTTCCACCCTCGAAACAAAGCCCACTTTGGGTTCCCATACGGCAATTTGAACCAAGCCCGTGATCTTTATGCACAATTCTGTCTCCTCATCTTGCATGATTTATATGGGTTTTAAATAATAAATTACATGGATGCTGTAGAATTTATAGTGCTCCAAGTAGGTCATTAAATAAATCACTGTATAATTTATATAAATGAACCTAAATCATGCAGTAGGAGGATTTCATTAGAAAATCAATCCCGTGAGTGGATAAACATGAAGGACTGGCGGGAACATGGCCGTTTTTGAAAAATTCCTGGGTCTCTGACCGAATGTGAAGGTGCTCCGTGCTGGAGGGCACTTGGCTCTCACTTCCCACTCTGCTGTGCGGGCTCAGGCCCACATTTCCTAGGACCTGCCTCCCCCTGCAAGTCCCCCTGCGGCTTTTCTAGCAGGGTATCAGCACACCGCAGGGACTCGGGTCACCTCAAAGCCAGCTGGCCTCTTGCCGTCTCGAGAGCACAGCCAGCCTGAAAGAGGGGGAGCCACGGAGCACTCCTGCTAACCACAAGCCAGTCTCAGTCTTGAACACGGGCCAAGCCCGGGTGTCTGGCTGGCAGGAGCAGTCACCTTGCCATGGGCAGATGTCTGCCTGATGCGGCTGCCTATGACCTTCCCCAGGACTCTCGTGTAGGATCCACTCCAGCCTCCATCAGGAGCCCATTTCTGATGGAACCAAGGGGCAAGTCTGATCTGGGAAGCTTAAACCCGCCGAGTTCCTCCCCGGCCCCCTCAAGGACAGGAGAGGGAAGGCGGTGGCGGACCCTGGGACCCCCTTCCCACCAGGAGAGCAGCGGCATTAAGAGCTGCTGGTTAAGGGTGGGAGACCGGAGCCCGGCTCTGTTCAAGGCAGAGGTGTTTTAGAAGGGAACTGCACGCCAGAGGAGGTCCTGTATTTTTAAGACCACTGTTTGAGAAAGATCAGGGAGAAGGGACGCAAAAACATGCAAGATGAACAAAACGTTCCGACGCATTCTCTGGGAGACAGAACCGGCTCTGGGAAGCTCCCTGCAACCCTTTGGGGAGCTTGGCAACATGGAAAGCTAAGAGTCATGAGGTGACAGTCCACAGGAGTAACCAGCACCGCTTTAGTCATTCTAGGGGTGTGAGTTTAAAGACTCTGCTCCCCAAACACCTGAGGGCCCTGGCTTTGTGGCGTACGCACCCCGAAGTGCAGCACGTTGAGAAGTCAAGGGTGGCTCTTGACTCCTGAGAGGGGTGGCACCCAGGGACAGGGCTCCAGAAGGGCCCATGAAGACCACAAGTTTGCCTGGCACAGAGCTTGGGGATGTGGTACAGGCCCTTCTTACCCTCTGCTCCCACGAGCTGCTGTTCCCCCAAACACTCACAGACACTGCCCAAGTCTTCGTTGAGACACTTGGCGGCCAGTACCTACGAAACAAGAGAATGCGTCACTGAGAGCAGGGACATCCTTTGAGTCTCCCAGACGTTGTTCAGCCTCCCAGCCTTAATGATCTGAAGCCGACAGCTGTAGGAAGACATCCTTCACTGGAATGGCCCACCACACACGAAACTTCCCCACTGCACTGTCAGGATCACCAAAGGTGCCCGGCCGAGGGGACCAGCTAGCGCTGTGCTTCCAAGATCTCCTCAGGGTCACAGCTGGGATCCTCCCATTCTAAAAGATGAAAGGGCAGGAGGGTGCCTTGTTTCATTCACACCACTAAAACAAAAACAGCACAGACCAATTGGCTCAAACAACAGAAATTTATTTCTCACAATTCTGGAGGCTGGAGGTCCAAGGTCAAGGTGCCAACACATTCAGCATCTGGTGAGAGCTCTCTTCCTGGTCATACATGGCTGTCTTTTCTCCAAGCCCTCACATGGCAGGGGGGCAAGGGAGCTCTCTGGTGTCTCCTTTGTAAGATCACTAGGCCCACTCGTGAAGCTATACCTTCTTGATCTAACCAGCTCCCCAATACCATCCACCTCCACCTCCTAACACCATCACATTGGGGGTTAGGATTTCAACACATGAACATTAGAAGGACACAAATAGTCAGTCTAGAGCAGAGGGAGAGAGAGAAAGGGAGGCAAGGAGGGAAGGAGATAGAGAGAGTCCTCTTGAATCTACTGATCCATCCGTCCCTCAGGCTACTACGCTGTTTTTTCGTTCTTGCCTTCATTGTCCAGTTCATTTTTTCAAAACTGGGCTACCCTTTCCACCTCAGCTGCTTCTCATTTCTAAAGCCCTCGCCTTGGATGCCCATGCCTGCTGCTCTCAGACGTGGCCAGGGCCCTCATCCTGTCCACTCCTGTTTCTCACACGGGGGCATCAGCTCCGCATCTGGCACAGCTCAGCCCAAGTCCAGCCAGAGCCCCCCCTCCCAACTGCACCGGCTCCTTCCTGTGGCTCTTCTTCCCTTGTCTTCCCCACCCCACCCCCCCACCCCCCGCAGCGCCAGAGCCTCCTCTGGTTACAGGTACCACACCTATGAAAATGGCTCTCAAACCCACATTTCTAACTCTGGCCACGTGGCTTGTGGTGAGTGGCCATCCCTGGTTATCATCAGGTCTCTCAGACTGGACACCCCCCACCCCCACCTAAGCTGGACTCTTCATCTTTCTCTCTGCAGATGGGCCTCCTTTCCTGGTGTTCTTACCACCATGAGGAACACCACTGTCCTCCAGCTTCCAGATCCTTCTGAACCCTCCTGTCGCTTCATGCTCCACAGCCAGTCCCGCATCAACTCCTGCCAGTTGTTGTTTTTCACATCCTGTGATGTGAAAATATCCTCCTGTGATGTTTTCCTCACATCACTCATTCCCACTGCCCTCACCGTACACCGGACCCTCACCATCTCATACACGGTCAGGAGGGACGCACTTCAGAGCTGGGAGGAATTAGTCAGCCCAACCCTTCACATGGCAGACGAGGAAACAAAGGCTCAGGTGGGAGGGACGTGTGCCTGAGGTCAGAGCTGTTAGTCAAGACTCCAACCCAGGTCTCCTAGGGGTCTGCCCCTCGCCTCCGCATGGCACCACAGGTAGAGACCAGGACAGCGGCCCAACCCCCTCTGCCTTCCCTCATAACCACTTTCCCAGATACTCTTTGGGGTGTTTGCCAGTTCACAGGGTCCCTCTCCCGACCCATCCCACCACATGGGCGGACCAGCAGGGGTGCTGCACCCTGTGGCCACACTCCCCTCGTGGGAAAGAGTCACTGGATGAGGGACAGCCACCTCACTCGTCAGGCCAGTCACGGTATTTCCTCCCAATATGTGGAATTAGAGAGAAGGAAATTCTAATTCAGTCTGCTTTAGTCTCCCTAAGGTGGCCGGCCTCCCGCCCTGGGGTCTAAGGTGAACACGAGGTAGGCTGCTGAGTGACACCGACATCTGGGGGGAACAGAGATGAAAGGGGGAGAGAACGAGCCTACTCACTGCCTTGTCACTGGTCCCAGGCCCTTCCGGAAGCTCCACCCTGTGGGGGTCGAAGGGTGGGGCTTTTTGGGGGGATGGGGGTGGGCAGAGAGAGACTGGTAGCTTTATCTCTACCATTATTCCCTTCACTGTCCCTAATCCACCCCCAAAGAAACAGGTAATCTGAGTAAAAACCAGGCTGACCATGCAGACAGCTTTAATGGTCTCTTAGCCCTACAAGATTTTGTTTTGAGGTGCCTCACTTTGCTTTCTGTCACTTGCAATCAGAGTCCTAAGCAATTCACCAACTAAACCACACACACACACACACACACACACACACACACACACACACACCACAAACCTACAATGAGCAGAGAGTGTACTTGATCTCAAGCCCCGCATAAAGGTTTGCCTCCCCCAGATGTACATGAATGTTCCGTGCACCTATGATTAAACGTGCTCTCATGGCTGCCTACCCCTGCCCACAGTCGTCCTAAGACGGTTTCACACACATCACCCGTGTATTGCCTGCCACATTGATGGGCTTAGCATCTGTTGTACCGGTTCTACTTCTACACCTTTGCAAATGCCACCGTCCCTAGGCCGTGCCCGGGGCTCCTTCTCTCCAGCGTCCTGTGTTCCTGGGTGGCTCCAAACCTGGCTCGGTCTAAATTTCCCCGGAAAGCCTTCCCTGATAAGCCTCATCCAACTCCAAACAGCACTACCAGCCTCAGCCTTGGCTCAGCTTCCCCTATGAGATGTAGTTCATAAAAACAGACCCAGAAACGTAAATTCAGTGTCGCTTTTTCAGATGTGTGTCCTAACTTCCTGACAGTCTGTAAGCTCTTCTGCAGAGGAGACTGCCCCTCCCTACAGCATCTGGCACACTCCTTTCCACACTACAGACACTTAATAAATGTAACTGCCTGCCTGACTGAGACAGGAAAAGTAGTAAGCCAGCGTCCAAACTCGCTCCACGCAGACCTCTAACTGCCTCCCTGAAAGTGGCAGGCATCGGGAGCTCCAAGGCCCTCCACTCACTTCCAAGCCCGAATTAAAATGTTCTGCTGCACGAATGATTCCAAGCCCTTTGGAAAGGTCTGAGGGGTATCAGTGGAAAGCAGAGCTGAAGGCTGAAGGGCAGGATCTTGGAAAGTGAGCCCTGTCAGGGTGTGAATGCACACAAC